TTAAGTAATGCAAAAGTTTATATTAAATTACAAAATTCGCCCTTTAACCTAAAGCAATTGTTTTCATATTTATGATTTTTTATTTGTTTTAAAAATTCAGCTTTTTATTAATTTGGATTAGTTTAATAGAGACAAAGAAAAAGATAGGGGTTTTGGTGTAGATGTGGATCATTAGCAGGATTCATTGGGGATTTTATGGAGGGAGGGTTAATTAATATATTGTTTTCATAAATATATATTTATATATACTTATATAAAGGATTATTATATACTAAGCATATGTGTCATATATATTGTTTCTTTTTTTAGTTATTTTCATAATAAAATGAAAAAAATTTATCTTACCCAGCCATATTCCAATTATCCATGTTCATATTGTTAGCCCTGTTGTTGTTGCTATACCAAGAGTTACCGACATTTATCCCGTTATTGCTGTTGTTGTTGCTGTTATTACGAGATGTATGATTATGTTGATTCTGCTGCGATTGATTGTGATAATGGTGCGGAGAGAACAGCATGCGTCCACGTATGGTACGTGCAGGTACGTTCCTGGAGAAAGTTCTACGGGTGGTGCCTGTATTATTTGGATTTAACATTATAACGCGTTAGTCTTGTTGCTTTCTTAATCTTAAATATGCTTTCTGGTAAAAGATGCTTGGAGTATGGAACTGATTGATCCTAACTCCCACAATATGAACGCTAATTGAAATTGAGAGAGGTTTGAATTGGCTTTCTTTGCTTTGCTGTTCTATATTTGGTTGTTGTGGTTGTTGTAGTAGTTCACTTTAAGAAATTACTTGGTGTTTTGTTTTGTTCTATAAATGTGTTAATTTCTTGATTGAATCTAATTTGATACAACTGAAATTCATATAGAAAGAAGTACACATATATAAGTGTTTATTTAATTAAGCTTTAAACAAATTCAAAAAAAAAAATTTTATTTCGATATTTTATGGAGTACTATTGAACTACGAACCATGTATGTTATGTTTTTATACATTGAAAATCTTTTAGCCTTCACCAAAAACATATTATATGGCAAAAGCATTATATGATAACGTAAGCTATCGGAGCTGAATGTGAAGTTCGGCATTTCAGATAAGAATTATTAATATGTGTAAATTTTTAAATTTCAAAATAATTATAATTTTTCACTACTTATTGAAATATATTTTTATGGTTACATACATGCAGCACCGAAATCCATTAAATTATATTAAATGTTATATATTTGGCTATATATATCAGAATCTTAGTCATAAAAAAACGAATAAAAAATAATATGATAAAAATTAGGAATAAATTTTATATTTTTATTATTTAAATTTGTTTTTTGTAACTTAAATGTCAACTTTTTTAATTTAAATATGATAAAATTTAATTACTTCCTAAATGGATGGGATAAATCAAAACTTGGCAGGCAGCCAAAGATAATTAAAAGCGTTATTGAACTGTAAATAGTAAAATAAAATGGGCTAACAATGCATAACGCTATTAATTTGTTTGATTTATTCAGTTCGACTTTAATATACGATAGGAAGAATATACTTATGCCCCAATCGATATTAGAATACGTCCTTAAAAAGAAGACATTTAGGCGGTCATTTGAAAGACTGAAGGTAAATTTTAATTATAAAAAATCTACTATTGATGGAATGCTTTGTTACATTGGAATCACAACCTCTAGTACCCAGGAATAACATAATATCATAGATTATCGTAATTCAGTGGTGATATAATAGTAAATTGTATTAAAATCCCTAAACTCATCAAATGATATGTATCATATTTGCTTATGGAATAGTATTTAACTAAATATGACTACTAGATCTAGCTCAGGATCAGAACAGATTGAAATAATTTAAATAATTAAGTTTTCATGTTATGATGCAAAAGATATTGTTTTCAAATTGTGTTATTGCATTTATAATCGCAAACATCACTGTCCACTCTTCGCAAGAAAAAATTAACGTTACTTATTGTATTATAATTTAATTATTTAGTAGTTATTACATACAAATTCAATATTAAAAATAAAATCGAGTGACTCATACCTTACATGAGTTTAATTCAGTACTATTATATTAAAAATTTATTTTTCATATTTATTGGATTAAAACAATTGAATTTTTTTAATTTAATTAATTCTCACCTTTCTTAATATTCTTTTACTCTTACATAAATATTTGAAAAATACAGACGTAAAACCCACGAGAATTTACAAATTTAAAAAAGTCATATTTCTTCTTGTCTATTTGAATTTACCATTAGAACATGTATCCAAACTCAGATGTAACATATGGAATTCTCCACCAGCCTGAACTAAAATGAATGCTATCATCGATAATTTATCTTAAAATTAGATTCTAAGTTTGCTAATGCCCATTAAATGGAACATAATAATCTTATATTTTCTTCTTCTTTGTTTAAGTACATAATCCTATTTACGATGTGATTAATTATTGCTTATATCAATTAAAGTTGTTTTTTACCTCTCTTATTGACATCAAATATTATCATTACGAAGTGGAAACCATCTGTAATTAATATTTATATCTGAAAATCTATCATTTTTCGATATTGCTATTTTATGAATGATAATGATGATTATATTGCATCCTTAACAATGAAATCTTCAGATTAACATTAAGTTCTGAGCCACAATATGCAACTGTACACATGTTACCACTGATAAAAACCTGATTTATTTTGTTATATATATGTAATTGGGATTTTTACCAGGCTCATTAATTTGTAGACTATTATAGTAGAATCTCTTAATGTTGGCAGACCTGAGAGTTTACATAAAAAGCATTCAATAGTTTATTTTTCCATGCAGTTTCTGCATTTCTTGTTGAACGGGATACCTAATCGTTTGGTATTGGTGCTTTCAGCCCAATAGGCTGTCAGTACTAATACAAGTTTTATCACTTCCATCCCAGCTCTTCCTATTAGGAAACGTCGTAATGAAAAACATTTTCATTTTCAAAAGGCTAATATTATTTTATTTCTCTTTTTTTATACCGCTTTCTGAAACTTCAAGACTCCCTTTTGCTGAAATTTACAAGATTTTTTTGATTTGCCTGACCATTTTTCTTTTACCAGATCTCCCTCGGTGACAATTTTGTACTTTGAAAATTTTCAAATTTGGTTCGAACGGAAATATTTTTATCAAATGAATTTAAATATAGAATAAATGGATTTAAATTTGAGTACTACGACGCAATGAAGAAATTTATAAACGTTTCCCTTTGACTTTGGGTCCAAAAATTTTCTATACTTTTCAGATCAATAGAAAATATTAAATAATGGCTTGTTTATTAGGACAAACAAATAAAGAGCAGTACTATATTTTAGGTTTGGAGATAAGTTAGCTTGAAACAAAGGTTTTGTTTCATAGAGCAATGCACCAGACCATTCATCTGTTACAACAAAATTGGTCCAATTACTACGTTCTTGTCACACCTACTGTACAAAATTAAGTAATATTAATTTAAGTCTGTAGAACAATATATTTGAATATTTAGAGAAAACAATAAATTATAAATATATCTTTTGGTAGATTATATTTTGATTTTAGTTTAACAAAATCAGTATTCTACTGTACAAAATATATTGTCACATGGTATATGAGTGAGAACACGGTAGATTTAGTTTTATTTAAAAATAATTTAAAATGAGTATTCATTATTAGTAAAGTTACAAAAATGAAAATCTTTTGATTAATTTTAATAAGGGAAAAAATTATCTATTCATAAATTTAAAATTAAACTTCCCAAAACAACTATTGTAAGTTTTATAAAAAAAATTATATTAACATTTAAAGTAAGAATATCTCATATCTCTTGTT